CATGGCATGCTGCATTTATATTTAACCCACTGAGCAAGATGTTTTTCCAGACAGAAAATATGGCTTTCTATTGACATAATTATGACATGCTAAAGTAAAGCAAACCTCATACTTTGCTGAATTCTGCCTGCTGCCACCATGCGTTATGGAAGACGAGGATGCAGGACTTTCAAGACTTCAGCATGACAGTTGTTGAAAGAGAAGCGAGCACGAACGATTTTGGCTGATGCCTAATTTTAGAGCAATTCATAGAGCATTGCTCTAACATATCTCAAAAGGCGAGCAATTCAAGAGCAGGAAGGAAAAAAAGATCCTTAAAGTTTATTCATAGATTGAGTGCATCTTAATTAGAATAAACAGAATTAATTGTGCTATATTTAAAAGGTTGTTTATTTAATTATTAAAGAATATTAAGTACACCCTGACAGAAATGTATTCCAATGGTTAGGTGAACAGAGGCATGCCAAAATTAGGAGATCCAGGCTTCAGTTATTCTGAGATCCTCAATGACTTCCTACAAGCCCTGGGTCTTCCAGGAGTGACTGAACCATACGTATCCTCTCTTCTGAGTTTTGAAACCACTATCAAAAAGTGCAACCTAACTGCTGCTTCTAAAACAGTTCCACGTAATAATATTTTCCCCTATTGAAATATACAGGAATATAGGACTACTGGCATTAGGAGAAGTATCACAGTACTGCAGATCACCTGTCCCAAAATAGCTTCATTTTGTAGCTGCAAGAGAGACACATTCAGTAACTTGGGTGTTCAAGGCACGTGTCAAAGACATCTAAGTGATGTTGTCATAGTCACCACATACACGAAAAGTTTCCAGATGCTCTAACTGGGAGGAAAAAATGTCTGAACTTCACTCGTCACAGAATTGTAATCCTACTCTCTTCCTCCATCTTCTGAAAAGAGGGGGAACAATTTTCTTTTTAAAGAAAATCTATTAATATACAAATTCTCTTCCAGCTATGGAATTCAGATGCCATCAGTGTAGATGCCATCAGTGTTCTTGTTTCATTCTTCTCCTGATCATTCAGCAGGTCAGTTACTTTGTGTAAGTCTAAAGTATTCTCTTGAGCTGGAAGCAAACTAAAGATTGAAAGAAATTTAGAGTATCTCTGAAGAGAATGTCTATTGAAAAAATAACTATATAATATGCATTTTATGTGTTCTTTTGTATTCATGCTTAGTCCTTGCCAATTTCCACTCCTCTCCTCATTGGCACTGCCTGTAAGAGCATTTGCTGCCCCGTTGAAAAACCAGAACTTACTTAATCTGGTTTACTGCGTTTGATGGTTTACCCAAAACCATAAAATGCAACTGCGAGAAAAATGTAAGGCAGTATTGAGCAGCTGGTTATAGGAGGACCAAGAACAGCTTCAGTTTGGCTCTGATGCAGAAAAACAGAACACGGAACCATACCCTTAGAGATATAAAAGACTATTATTTCTGTCCAACAAACAACCTTCATACTTCAAAATAGCCTACTCTTTCCATTTAACATTTCATCACAATACTGTGCAGGTTAGAAAGGCAAAATCTGTGTTTAGTTGTATATGTATTGGGCATTTTGTGCTAGCTATTTAATTGATTAAAAAAGGAAAAATTGATTAAAAAGGGAAAAAAATCTTTGGAATGAAATAGAACTTACGGGATTTTATGCAGCGGTAACTTACCAGTGGGCAAAAAAGCAATAAAAAAGAATGTACTTCAAAAAAACTTAATATGCACAAAGCCTCCTCGTCTGTTCCCCTACAAATTATTTTACCCTTCTCTTTCATATTATTTCTCATGCTATTTTTTTCATTTGTCTGTTTATTCTTTTACTTCAGTACTTTCTATGCTCCACTTCTCCCTGGGTTCTTCTGTTTTTTCTAATGCATTCAACTCACGCTGCTTCCTTCTCACGACACTAGCAGTACATATGGAAGAATTCATTAGGATCTTTTTATTCATTTCAAATCTCGAATCACATGATTCAGCACTATTTGGTCACCTTTTGGTGTTCTAAAAGTTATCATTATTTAACATATTCCTAATAGAAGAGATGTACCAGTCTAAATAACTGCAATTCCTAATGAGGAACACAGTAGACAATTACATCTTGCATGTGAACCTGCAGCATTTACACCATGGACTGATAGAACACTAAGTCCTTTGGTTTGTTGTGATTTGTTGCAGTGTGTTTTTTTATTTAAATTTCAGAAATTTAAAAACATTTTTCAGATGAACTTTAGTTCAAATCTTCCTACCTAGCACCCAACTATATAACTCAAAACTTTCCAACTGCAGATCAGCCCATGGCTATATTATTATAAAAGAAAGCTGTGCATATCAAAAATTGTCTCAATTTTTGATGTCCATTTGCACAGTAGAATGGTGCTGCTTGGCTGCCAGATGTCTTCAACAACTGCTGAAAACCATCACCTTTACCACATAAGACAGGCACATCTTTTTGCCTAAACCAATATGCATAACAAAGAGATTACTATGAAGAAAACTAGAAAGAACAAATTGCACAGATACAGTTAAAATAGCATGCAGATTACAGACAAAATCCTAATCCAGACTACGCATAAGAAGGAAGAAGTGAGTAACTGATGTAGTTGCAAACAAATCTGGCATAAAAATGGATTCATGCATTTAAATATTTTATAAATCTACAATAAGAATATCAGTGACTGTAAAATGATCTAATTTGATTTTCTATTTTCAACTAAATCTCTATGGTTTAGTATGGTTATGGAAAAACTAAAGGAAATTGAAAAAGAAGCAAATAGATATGTAAATGAAAGCGGCTATGACTTAAGAAGAAAGACTGAAGGAGAAAAATAGTTTGCCAAGTTAGTGGCCAAGATGCAGGGATCAGTCTTAACAGTAATACATGGCCCAAGGATATTAAATGAGTGGCCCTTCTCGTCCTCACATCTCTGCGATTCTCTCAGTAAAAACATAGACTTTTAGTGGAAAGAAAGACAGAATACTAGAAGCAGATCTAAAAAATGTGAGGGTTTTTTCCATAAGCAATTCAATTCTAAGTGGGATTATAGATAAGAAAGAATAGGTAATTCAACTTTCATAATTCAACCACAGCTCAACTACTATTTCATTTTACTTTGTTTTTCCATTGCTATTCATTCCTTGGTTTCTTTGCTGAGATTAACATGAATACACTAGGATATATTCACCACATTTTAGAGCTAATAGTTTTCTTTATGCTCGACTTTCAGAGGTAAACAGCCAAAGCTCCAATAGCTTTAATAAAGAGTAAGAGTTCCTCCTGAAAATTACAGTTTTACTGTCACAATCTGTAAATTAATCTCAGGCAACAGCTGAAAAAAAGAATTAGCATAAGTATAACTATATCTTAAACATTGAGTACGTAAGCACTATAATTGAATTTATTAGACTCAAAACTGCCATGTTTTTCATGTGGCATGCTATTACCTGCTCTTGTACATTGTGCTAGCTTACAGAACATTCATGTCAATGTTCATTTCTTTTAATGTATCTATAAAAACAGTGAAGTGTCTGTATTAGCTGGCTGTGTCCATATGAACAACTTGCTTATTTTAGTGACTGTTTTATAACGTGCTCTTTCAGAAGCTTATCCACTAAAATTCTAAGAAATTAATTTTGTCACAACAAATTTAGTAATTTTTTAACAAACCCAAAGAATTGTCTTACGCGTCACATAAATCTAAAACAAAGCAAGCAGTATTAGCTTGGATACCACTTTCTGCATCATACAGTATGTGAATTGCCTGAATAGTAACAAGTTTTGTGCTGTGAAGTAAACACAATATGCAAACTTTCAGGGAGTCACAGGAAGTCCATAGCCATTCTGCAGAGGAGAGCCCAGCCAGGGGCTGAGGGTCTACCAGAGCCAGTTCCCCTCATGTCTGCATCCATTTTCAGTAGTGATCTTGCAAACTGTAATGAACGAGTTCCTAGCTGTAGGAAATAACTTGCTTCTGTGAAAGCTATAATTAATGTCATCCCACAAAAGAACATTTTTTATACTTAACAGGAAATGTTTATCTCACCAGAAAATCAGTAGATCTCATCCTGAAAGACTATAATGTTTAAGTAAGTGTGGCTTTGCATATATTCTTCATAAAGAATATTGGATCCAACAGCACAGACGCTTTAGAAGTCACGTGATATGGAAGCTGAGGTTCAAGAAACATGCTATTTTATTCCCATGTTTGCCTACTAAGGCCATTTGAATTTGTTTTCAAAATAAAGAGGTCTTTAAACGTCAGTCAGAATCATTAGTTAAATATTTCTCAGTAAAATCTGCAACAACAAAAGATGTGTGTGTATGTGTGCGTGTCATGGGAAAACTCTTCTCATGACATACACCTAAAAAGGGATGTTATTGCCATCTCTGATTTCTAGATCAAACATGCAACACCCAAGAAAAGCCGATCAAAACTGTTCTATGGAGCCCTGCCAAACAGGGAGGAAACAAGGCCAGAATGCACATTCCCACCTGGATGGGGGTTAAATGTGAAAACAAACTGAGGCTGCAGTGCCTGCCTCGTGCCCCTCTCACCATTGCCAGCCCCCACCCCGCACTCTAGCTTCAAGGGGTCCAGAATTTGAGAGAATTTTAAACCAGAATCTGATCAGGGTCCCAATTCCAGAGTACCAATATTCATACTCAGATGAAATAAAAATCTAGGTTAGAATATTTTAGCATTGTAACAAAGGAAATAATCTTTTAGAAAATAATAATGTTTCTTACTTATATCTGAATATTGGCATAGCCGGTTTCTTTTATGATAAAGTTGTGAGCTGTAAGAAAATGAGGTGGAGAGACAGAAATAATGACGTCTAGGAGAAAAAAAATCATCTTTCATTATAGGAAACAGTAGCTTAATCTTGTTTTGAAGTGGGTGTATGTAACTCAGGGATTAATAAAAATACTCCATAAGAAAGATCTCAAATGCTACCAAAACCAGCTTCCATTCTGAATCTGTCTTTTTATTTGTAAAGATTGGCATTACAATTGAAAAGAACTCAAAATGGAGTGATGTACACATCATTGGTGTTTCATGATGCAACTGATGGAATCCCTGAATGGATATTGCTTCAGCTTTGATTTTAAAAAATAATTTAACAAGAAAATCTTCAACTCTACTATCGATCACAGGTGGCAGAAATGAAAGAAAGAAAAATAAAAGAAATCATAGCTACTGTCAAATTCATAACATATACATTGTTGGCTGATGACACTCATTCCAAATGTACAATAAAGCCCACAACACTTTATTACTTATGGATATATTATTGTGAATGTTTTTCTCATGTTGATCAACTTGCCTCTGAAGGTTGGTTTTTTTGATTGTTTTAAACTTGCATAATAAACATGCAACGAAACATTTCTTGTTAAAGTGTTTTTTGCAGTCGTCTTGTTCTCTTACAAAGATTTCATAAAGTTGCAGTGTTGCATCAGAGCATTACCAAAATAAGAACTAGAGCTAAAGAGGAAGGTAAACGTGAAATTATCTTGATGAGAATAACCTACTCTCGTCCTGAGACACTCCAGTCTTATTAAAAAGATGTGCACATTCAAATCCCTTCCTCCCAAACCTACCAAGAACACAAAATAAATATTAATTTGGAGGAAAGGGAGAATATAAAGAGAAAAAAAAAAAGATGTCACCATGCACTCATCTTCTGCATAGCTCAACCCACATATAGTAAGGCACTATTTCCCCACAGCTTAGTGTCCACAACAATCTTTTACAGTGCTCCGTGAACTACATATAGTTCCTTCCAGGATGATGAAATAAACAGATTGAATGAGTGTTGCTACCATGCCACCCCATGTGTGATCTCATAGACAAGGGCGTCATCTGGCAGTTTCAGAAATAAGCTGTCTTAAGTCTCTTTTTATGTGTACATCTTATGTATACAGATACTTTGTGTGTGTGTGTGTGTGTGTGTGTGTGTGTGTGTGAGAGAGAGAGAGAGAGAGAGAGAGAGTGTGGTGGGTTTGTTTTCCAGAGTTGCTGTTATTTTTCATTGTTCTTTACTCCAGTGTTCTCAAAGCAAATACACAAGAAAATAAAAGCGCAGTCAGGTCATTAAAAACAGAGCTTTGGTGCTCCAAAAAGCATATAGCTTTGGGAATTTAAGAAATCTTTCAGATGTTCCCAACAGAGCTGGGCAATAGATGGACATATATTTTCAAGTGGAAATCCTCATCTCTGCTTAGTTTAGCTGGTCTTCATATTGTTTCCGGAAGCAATCACCAGCAGGGAAAAACTCCCAGCATCGTTCTTGATACATTTTCCATACATAGGATTCCTGCAAGAACCAAAATGTAAATAATTAACTTGATTCAATGAGAAAGTATCAAGCATGTCTTTTTTTTTCTTTTTTGATTTATATACTGTTGCACTTTTCTGATTCTGTTCATATCAGTTTGCTGTATAACAACCTACAAATCATGTAAATTATTTTGTTCAGTTTAGAGTAGCTTTTTGATTTTTGTCACCTAGTCAAAAGCACTAGAGAAACACATAGAAGAGGACCAGATAGTTTAGTTGGCTGTTTCACACCCAGGAACATTGTAAAGCTCAATAAAAGCTCGTCACAAGACCAAATAGCAATCTAAGTAGAATATTTACGTTCATAGAAATTTGACTGAATTTCTCTATTAGTCATTTCAAAACATGCCACGCATGAAATAAGAGCAGCATTATTTCCATTTTAGCTTCTACACTTAAGTGTGCTTTTTATTATACAAATCTCATGTAAGAAGGAACATCTGTTACACAACTTATGTAGTATGAAGTACTCTCTAAACTTTCAAATTAAATGAAATTTAAATTTTAGTATCAAAACTGAGTAATCAGCAGAAAACACTCTCTGGCTTCAGTGAATATAGTGAGACTACATACATAACATGCCAAGTAAAAAAGTAAACACAAATGCTGCAATATTGTGCATTAAAAAGCAATACAAAATTTTAAATCTTGTTTAATATGAAATTCTCAAAGGAAAGATGGATATTCAAAAATAACAAAGGAAATAAAATCTTTTACTTCACATAGCTGAGAAAATTTATGCAGGGAATGTGATTACAGCTGCCCAGTGCACACACTAGAGTTCAAAAAGAGCAACTTGCATAAATGCATAGCACATCATCCCCGTGACGGAAATCTGTGACTATGTATATGATGCTTTCATTTGCGGACTTTCTGAGCGCCAACATGTAAACGTGTACTCAGTTCAGCTGCAAGGCTCTCACTAGAAAATCCACTAGTCTCTAAATTTGTTACATTTTCTACTTCTAAAGGAAGCTGAAGGAAGCATTAGAAGTTTAAAAGAACAATGAACGGTGAAGAAGAAAACTCTTGGGAAAATTATTCTCACGGATTTCATTTCAAATATATGCACAAGCTCTTTCATGTGGACTAAACCTCTACATTTCAGATGGGCAAAAACATCGGCACTATGCCTTTCACAGATGCATAATAAAAAAAGAGAAGCTATTTGAAAATGTAGACTTAAAATCTCGTATAACTGATGGATAATACAAAGCATAAAGAATATAAAAAAGAGAATCAACAGGGAGAAGTGAACAGTCTTGCTTTCATGGGACACTTAAATGTTTTGTTTCTCATTTTTGTTTACAGTTTCTATTTATATTTTGGGGGAGTCATACTTTAAGAATAGGAATAGAAAGTACTGCAGAATAGATGCTCATTCAAATGGTAGGCAACCAAAGTCCAAATAATTGTTTAGAACAATGAGAATTAAGTCACTTACCATATAGGGAGCTATGTATTAGAACACACTTAGTTTTGCCAAGCCTGAATGATTTTAAGAATTAGTCTTTTTTAATACCTGTTGACAGTCATAGGCTTGTTCACTTACCTGCCCCGTATGCTCTGTTTCATCTTTGTTAATAAGATACATCAGAAAAAACCTACAAGCAAAGAAATACTTATTATGAATATAGAATTTGGAAGCATTAGACAACCCCTAGATGAATGCGTATTTTTGAGTATGTTGCGTACAGCAATATAATGCTGTTCTTGAATTTACACGTTCTAGAATACTTATGATAGCATTCCTAGATATACTAAACATAATTTCCTGACACCTTTATTTACTCATCGTTCAATGAATAGTATGCCAAAATGCAAGAGATTCAATTTGATTTACAGTAGGTAGCTACTGAGCTTGAGTGAAGATTTTCTAAACTTTCTAATCTGAAAATTATCCTAGACATTTTCTTACCCTAGAAAACTAACTTGGAGGTGGACAGACAATGCTAAGGAAGAGTCACTGGAACTTTTTTTTTTAAATGAATAAGACATACTGAAGACGATTAAAAGATTTCTCTTACCCATCTCGTAGAATGGGGATATTTTACTAGCATATGTAACTCAAAATCCACGTGAACAGAAAAAAGTTTGTAATTTTTAAAATGTATTGGGCTTGGGGGGTTTGAGATCTCTGACACACAGTAAACGATGATTTCAAAATCTCACTCATTATTAAAGACTTAAAAATATTTTCTTGGGATAATGCAGTTAGGATAAGTATGCTATAACACATTGTTTCTGTAGTTCTTTGTAAGAATTCAGCTACCAAACTCTAAGAATTTAATCTTTTAAATCATATGAAACATGAGGCAAATTTTCCTAGGACATGATATTTACATCCCTGGCACAACAACCATCTAGTTTAAACCCTTGCACTGCAGCATAAAGGTACTAGCTGCTCTTAGTAAGTATCATCTCTCTCTCCAATCTTATTTTTAGAAATGGGAATAAAACTGCTCACTCATTCTTCCGGAGACCCTGAAAAATATTCCGTCTGAAGTAGATGTCCAGCTACTAAAAAACTTCCTACCCTGGACAATGAAAATCTGAGAAAATCATAAACACTAATAAGAGGTCTTTTGGCCAGGTTTCGGTCTGCTGTGACCGACAACTAGCAATGGCTCTCCTATGTTACGTCTGCGAAAGGCAGAAGAGATCTGTTTGATGCCCTTTATAAAGAATTAATGGAACACATCAATTATATAGTTAGACATAAAAAGTATATTTCTGAATATTCACTTTCAAGAACTTCATGAAACTCCGCAAAACACTAAATCAAATAGGAAACAGGGTGACAAAATCTGTTCGTTCTCTGCTCCCGACTCCACAGAATTGTATCTCTTCCCTAAGTCACAACAGCTTTCCTAACAACAGAAATTTTCTTTCTCCTGAATCCCATCAAAAAAAGGAGAAAAAGAAAGTCTTCCTCCTTCCTTCACTTGTTCGTTCAGACAACATAAGTGCATATAAAAGTGCACATAAAAGTCAAACAGGACTCAATCTTCCTTATACAACAGAGCTGATTAGATACTTGCAGGCGCTGTAAGGGTCATGAGTGAGCAAGGAGTTCATTTTTACTCTACTTACAGATAATTGGCCAAGTTGTGCTCCTGTAGTGTGTGTGTTTCAAAGCCATGGGGCACTGTATCAAAGTAGTCATTTCCTATTCCACAGATAAAGCATTTTGTCTGAAAGAATGAAGAATACAGAACACTTCAACACTACGCATGACTTCGCACCTCCAGGAGAAAAGCTCAGTAAGAATGCAACATTTTTCTTGGAAATTGCCATACATCATGCTTAATGTGTGTCAAACAAAAAGGCTCTTCCTTTAGGGACTGAGGTTGGAAGCGTCAGTGAAAAATCTTGAATAAAACTTTAACCGCCATCAGAATTACTTTTTGCTCTTTAAAAAAAAAAAGAAAAGAAAAAAAAATCTTTGGCACCCATAAGTAAACAGGTGTTATGAGAAGGAATACCATGAAACAGTCAAAGCTGAAAGCAATTTTTCTTCCTTGAACACCATAAGTAGCGGTCACTGTACTCTATATCAATCTTTACATCAACGGCAGTTGTGTTTACTCAGCTGAAATTTAATATGCTCTTAGTTTAGATGACGTAGCACAGTAGCTTCTTGACACTTTTCTGAATTCTGAGAGTTATATTTAAATGATAGAATAGAAAACTAGCATGTACAGGATACTTGCACACACAGATTCACAAAAGAAAATTTTGTGTGAGATGAACCGTAACATGATGGTGTTAATAGTCCGTGTAAGAAGCCTGTAGTCTAAAGGTCCACAAGATTTAAATATGAAATTCATTAAAATATACAGAAATGGACACAGACTTTTGTTTTTGTTTGCGAAGATGAAAATAAAGACATTACTATAAACTTTAAAAAGTTCTGAGAAAATAAATTAGGGTTTCTGTCTAATTTTCTGTTAATTTATGACTGACAGCAAAAAGCGGGCCACATTATCTGGAGGTATTAAAAAAAATAAACAAAAATGGAACGCGCAAACAGATTGAAAATATGTTCACAGCAGAGTATCAGTTATGACAAACTGTTTTTCTATCCCATAAAATGTAACAGGTAGCACCTGCCCAAGTACAGCACGCTTCTCTCACAGGAGGGAACGTAGAGTAGTAAATGCTATTCAGAACCCAGATGTAACCCAGAGTTTTCTCTTCATAAAAATGCCTGAAGAACACACTAACAGAAATGCTTACATAAGCTTTTATGATATAATAAGTATAAAAAAATCAGTCAAAAAAGTTCTTTTTCAATTACAATTTCCATCTCATGTACTGACGTATGAGAGCAGAATCTTGTCCAGTACATCGTATGATATTGGACCCACTACAGAAGCACTTGTTCTCCTATTAGTTTAAAAAAGTATCCACTAGCTGTATCACATTTTGATTTTAAACAGATATTCTGGAAACCCGAAAATAGGAAACAGTCCAGCAACTGGATGTTAAAACTTCTTACCTCCATATCTTCCTTGACTTGCTCTTGCTGATCTCTTAACTCACCAAAAGCATCAATAATTAAACCTAGGGTTTAAGTTAAAATGATCGTTAATTAAAGAACAGAACTCTGACGAGAGTATCAAATGAGAATCTTGTCCAGGACTAGGAGAAGTCAATATATGTCTCAAAAACCACAATAACAACTAAATACATGAAGGAAAATGAATAAGCCAATGAAAATGGCCAGCAGAACCAGTTAGACTTACACAAAAAAAAAAAAAAATAGGACAAGCAGACTTCTGTTTTATTTACAATTCTTTAACCCTGGTCCTTACATAATACATACAAACATGATTTTACATGACTTTACTATAAAAATATAAAAATAATAATACTCTACACTTAATAAAACAGGGATTTATTACACGGTGCGATGCAAAGAGGCCCAGAGTTCTGTGCACCCTGCTTTCATTACGGCTGTCATTTAATAATGAAGTTCCATTATGAGAGCTCTACAGAAGCAGAAGATCATTTCAGGGAGGTACAAAAAGGAAGAAGAAAAACCACTGCAGGGTCAGTGGTCCAGACTTGAAATTCTCTATGATTCTCCCTCCACTTACACTGATACAAAAAAAGACCAACTCCACCATCATCAGTGGCACTACTGTTCTGTAAAACTGACGAAAACAACCTAAGAATTATACTTAAAGTTTGACAGTTATGGCCTCTCCTCTTCAGCTAGTCACAAAATGAATAAACAACCAGTAGGAAATATGCTACTTCAGGCTCTAAGAAAGTCTGCCCCCCAGCCTCTTTAAAACAACCTGCTGCTCGAGTAAGAGTTGTGAACAATTCACCACAAGCTCTGAGCTGCCTTCTAAACTTCCTCATAGGAGGTCAGAAGGCATCCTTATTAGTGTCAAAATCATCATAACTTAACTGTTAGCTTATATAAAGCAATAAAGTATCACTATTTACAACAGCAAGTGAACCTAACAAAATCTTCATGTTTTTCCAAAACTAAGTATTTACTTCTGCTACTTTGTACAGTCTTTAATAAAAGAAGATCCAGGCATTCTTGACAATCTTGTGAAGATACACTAAGTATACAGGTAGGGCTTTTAAGTTCCTTAAGCAATCATATTTATAACAAACATAATTACCAGAAACATGATAGAAAAAAACTTGACTTCCCAAAATTCAGTACCCAGTATCCAGAATACAACAGTTACAGAGTCAGCCCAAGTGTCTCTCAAAGAGAGAACTGTCCTAGCCTGATGCTGACTAACTTCCCATTGTCATTATCCAGGGCATACTGAAGCTCTTTCATAGTGGGTATCTTCATTTACTCATTGAAGTTATTCAAGTAAGCAGGTCAAACAGAGGTTTTCGGGTAAGAAAAGGTTTAACACCTTAAAGCTATGTTTGCATTCTCACACCACTACCACAACGTGAAGATTTCAGAGTCAAAATCATTAGATCCTGGCAGGAGGGGCAGTGTAAGTAAAGCTAATGATTTTGTCTAGCTAAGCTTACACAGGATATGGGTCATGCTGAAAGGCTATTTTAAGGTATACCACAACATTCCTTCTAATCACTTCTCTTGCTGATCATTTACAGGAGGATTTGAAATGGGGCAATGAGAAGACAGAAACCATAGCAAAATCAGTACTCTCACGGCAAGCAGCTTTTTCTCTGTTTCCAATTGACGCAGGTAGAGCTTGTTGCTTATACAGAGAGTGGGAAGAACAGCATATGCACAAAGCCAGCTGGGTGTGGTTTACTACATAAACCTGTGCTGTATGATCTGCCCTGGTGACCTGGTTGAATCTTAGGTAGGTAGGATGACTGTAGAACTAAGATTTGTGTACACTAAATACGCTTTCATTCTCACCATAGGCTACGAACGCATACCTTGTATAATCGCCAGCAGGATGACAATCACAAAGAAGAAGAAAGTGATATCAAAGATAATCCGATAGATTTCATATTCATCTCCTGCTGGATCCTCTATTTCATCACCGATGCCTCCACCTGCACGCACTCCAACATACATGTGAAACATGTAGCACTAGAAAACACAAACCAAAGTAACACAAAGTTTGAAGCTAGAAGTAAAAATTGCCATTTCTGCAAAAGCAGTAATTGGCAGAACTGGTCTATGTTCTAGCAGCTACGCCATGTCAAGTCATATTTTTTTCTTCTTTGAGTTTATGTATACTTCCGAGGGAGCAGAAGTGCTGCAGCACATGTGAAATTGCAGCACATCACATTTTGTCATTACACAGCAATTCAAAAGACCAAAGGTTCCACTACCTTAAGTGCAGTGGCACAGCGTGATTAATGCATAGAAGTTCCAGTACGGAATAATGTGAGAGTAGGAAATACGATTACCATCATATCCATCTCCTTTTTCATTTCCCCAGGTCAAAAGGGAATTGAGCAGGGCTAGCCTTGTCTACAAGCACACCTGGAACTAAATTCAAATTCACGCTCCTGAATTCTCACAGGAGATGATTAACACACAGCTGAGAAATTACGAATATTTACAGACTCTGAAAACCTAATACTGTTGTATAGTTGGTCCTGATAAACATGGGGCTCAAATGACAAATTCTAATTCTAGATTGGCAGCTGAGTTGTTATCACTCCATTTTACAAATAACAGCCTATATATTATGATTGTTTTACAAGGTGAGATAACAATAATAATATAAAATGAAGATGATAATATTTATCTACATAAAAAGAATGTGGTATATAACAACTGCAGTTATAATAAAATTTTGCCTTTTAACCAAAATGTTATCTTCCATTTTTTCCCCGTCTTTGATGGTTCCAAAAAAACCAAAAAAATACCCTTGAGGAAGTTTGTGCAAAGACAAGCTAATAACGGAGAAAGCCTAATACTGTAAAAATTCAGTGTGAAATGTGATACCATAGGACTGAGTACAGTAATGTGGGCTGGTGAAAATGCAAAATTCTCTTTCACGCTATCACGATTTTCTATTAAATTATGTCAGTCTCACAGGTTTAGAGCAGGGTATTAGTTTCTTTATCTCTGAGCAGCCTTGCAAACTATAGATTCAAGGTCTCACTATCTTTCAAAAAGTAGTGATGCCAGTAACAGTAATTCTTATTGGCCAAGTGAAGTTTTCAGGTACAAGCTTTAAGGGGTTTTCTGCAGATCTTTATGTCTTTCCAACGTAAGAGTATAAAAGTCTGTCTTTACAAAGACCAGTGCAGAAATTGTCCTTAAGGGTAATTACTCAACCTTCACTTCCCTTCAAGCTCAAGAAAGCTGTCTGGACTTTAAAAGTATATTTTTATTCATCCTGAAATTTTCCTATTAGATCACTCTTCATATAGAAAAGAGCTATATGCACAGAGATATAAATACTTACGCAACAATAAAAGGAACAATAAACCAAGAGAATGATACACAGAGTGGATATAAGAATAATCTGACAACTAGTCTCTTTAGGACCTGAGACTTAAAACCAAGTGCCAGAAGAGACAAAAAGAATACAGCACAGAAAAAGCAGCCAGACACATTAAAGCTGATAACATATAAGTACACAGCAATCTTTCAATATACCATGCTACCCCAAAACATTCTTCGCTCCTTACCTCTCTGGTCTTTGTTGCCATGGAACGAAGGGAAATATTCCCCTCCGAACACAAAACTCTTTCATGCACCTACAATCACTTTTCAATATTTATATAATAGCCTACATCCCAGTCTCAATCCCACCTATAAAACTTCCTCTGATGGAACTCAGTGGAAAATAGATTTGGCTAAGAGAAAATAAAGCCATTGTAGCAATTCCATCTAAAAAGGATTCCTTACATCTGTATGCTCTCTTCCTCACTTTGACATCTGCATATTGGATACTGCTACATCACTGTAAAGATTTACGTGACAGCATATTTTCACCACAGATAAAATATGAAGCACATTTACAAACATTTTGACCTGCTATGTGGAGGTTATTTTTTCGTTTCTTCCCT